GTCAACCAGTATTTACTATGAACCTATTATATACCAGGTGTATATGATCTGGGATACAAAGAAAGGTAAAAAAATAGACCCTGCTCTCAAGGAACTCCTAACCTAATGGGGAGATAACATGAAAACAACTATGTACAAAAAAGATATATACAGGATGAACTGGATATAATCTCAGAGGAAAGGCACCAAGATTAAAATGGAGTAAGAAAGACTTCTTGCAGAATGTATGACTTTAGCAGAGATTTAGAGGAAGTCAGGAAAGTCAAGAGATAGAGATGATGGATTACAGTATTGCAAAAAAAGGGGGACAAGCTAGTGAAAACACAAGAGTCATGAGATCCTCAAGAAACAGAAAGAAAAGGAAATTTCTAAATAATAGTTTGGAAAACTTGTGTATTGTATGGAAAAAATAATACATTTGTTGAAAACCAGAATGCTTTTTTTAAATTAGAGGAGGGATAATCAGAAGGACTCCTGGAAGGGAGAAATCAGAACATTTTCTAAGTAGAAAGGGCCTCAAGTGAAATTAAGACAAAAGGGGTATAGAATGCTAAGAATAACAGATTTCCCAAAACTGCAAAGAAAAAATCTTGGATTTTTTCAGGAAATTTTGAATTTCAGGAAGGTATTCTTAAGCATTCTTAGAAATATTGAAAGTAAAATATAGATTACAAAGAAAGGAATAAATTAAATCTTAGGACAGCAGCATTGGTGCTCTACAAATTCAAATAATCTAGAGATATCATTGTCAAGTTTCAAGCTTATAAGGAAATGATTTAATAAGCAACCAAGCAGAAAGTTATCACAGAGAAAAAAAATGCCTACTCATTTAAGAACACACACACACAAACACATACACCCTTACAAAAGTGAATAGTAATGCATGATGGACTATGGTATACTTAAACATTAAGAAATGTATTTTAGAAGAAGAGCCAACATGGTAGAGTAATTGTAAGGAGAACAGCATTCTCCTACTCGCCTCCCCACAAAAACTACTCCTCCAAACAGATATAGAAAAGGCATGAATCTGAATCTTGATGGGGAAATCCAAGAAAAAAAGTCACAGTGAGTCATTTTTTATAGCTCAGGTTAGCATAGAGAGTCACAGAGAGGTCTGTAGACACTGGCAAAAGGGTTTAGCAACACATGGAGCACTCCGCACAAGGAGTGCTTATGCTTGACTGTGCAACAGGCATTCCAAACCCACACTAGGCTGCTGAGACAGCAACAGGGGCTAGTGGAAGCTTTATTGCCTACTACAGGCCCTGGTAACAAATTCAGAGTGAAATGAGAAGGGTACTTGTACCCAAAGTATAAAGGAAGTGGTCAATTGGAAAACAAACAAATAAACAAAACTTTGTATTAAATTTCTCTGAAAAGAATTTGGCACACTATATATACATAATATATGAGATACATATATATATATATATATATAATATGTTGTGTATAATATACATGACATATATGTCATATAAATGAGAGACAGAGAAAAGAAGAAGAGGAAGAAGAGCAAGAAAAAGAAGAGGAAGAAGAAGAGGGGGAAGAACAAGAAGTAATCATTCCCAAGAGATAAGTGCTCAAAGGGTGTGAACAGTTCTCAAAAGATTTGTAAACTTTACAACCACATGAAAGAATGATACAAATGATTAAAAATAGAGAAATGCAAATCAAAACATTGTTGAAGTTCCAGCCCACACTCTGACAACTGGCAAAAATGACAAAAATGGCAATAGTAGAATCTTGGATGGGTTGTGGAAGGAGAGGTACACTGAATCATTCTTGGTGGAGCTATGAACTGGTACAACTATTTTGGAAAACAATTTAGAATTATACAAATAAAGTGACTAAAAATTCATATCTTTTGATCCTGAGACTCCATTACTGTTGTGCTGTAAGGAATAAGAAGGCGATAGTTTTAGAGAAATCTGGGAATACTTGACTGAACTAATTCAGAGTGAAGTGAATAAAACCAGAACAATGTATACAATTCAAATAATATAGTAAAGACAAATAACTTTGAAAGAATTAAGAACTCTGATCAGTGAGATAACTGACTGGTTCTGGAGGTTTATAGAGTTAGGGATAACCTTGGATAGGAATAACCTGTGATAAGGATCCCGGTGAAGGACTCAGGATGCAGAATAAGACATATATATTTAGACACAATCAATGAGGAAATTTGCTTCACTTGATTATTTATATTGATAATGATAGTTTTGTTTTTCTTTTCAACTGGAGAATGTGTGGGTAGGAGGGAGAGAAGGAAGATTGCAAACTAATAAGGGAACAGAGCCAGACAAGGATTATCAAGCTCTCAATACTTTAATCTATATATATATATATATATATATATATGTATAGATAGATAGATAGATAGATAGATATTTTACAACTGTAATTAGTTACTATTTCAATGTAATAGCTAAAGGGAGATAAAAAACAACAGAAGTATTGCTTCGATTGACCACTGACTGACATGAACAGTCTTGATGGAAGAACAGGGAAGAGAGGAGTATTTTGATTTAGGGTAACACTGTTAAATAATTAGAGAAAAACAAAAGAACCAAGTAAAAAGTTTTTAGAGGAGAAGGGGAAATTAGGCCAACAGAAAAACTTCTATCTGAAACAGGGAGAAGAGCCAGGGAGTCAAGTTTTTACAAAAAAATATAAATTTAATATTTTTAAATATCAGAATTCCATTTATTGATGTGTGTTTAGGGGGCATAAGGTTGGATAATAATTAGTATTAAGGAAATTAGTAATAATGCATTTTCTTCCAAGAAAGGCAATAACTTAAAAAAAAGTATAATAGATAACCAATTTAACCATTATAATCTTAAATGTAAATTGATTGATTTTCCCTATGAAAAGAAACAAGAGTAAGTGAATAGATCTGAAAACTCAAGTCAGTTGACTATGGGAAATGCACTTAGTACAAAAGAAGCTTATATATTTTATTGGACAATGGTAGGCATATTGATATTGAAGCCAGGAGATGTGAGTTGAGATCTCAAATACTGGTTCTTACTCTGACTATCTTGCACAATCCATTTACTTTCTAGTGGACTTAATTTCCTCATTTGTAAAGTATGGAGGTTGGATTTTTGTGGCTTGAAGGGATCTTTCTATCTCTAAGTCTGCGATGGCATGTTCCTGTGAAATATAACATCCTTAAGCTAAGTCCAGAAAACTGCAGTTGCAGTGATGATTTCATAAAATCTGAATTCAAACTTGGAAAATTATGTAATATTATCAAGGTAATTATGTTATGCTTAATGGTACTACTAATGAGAAAATATCAAAATTAAGCAAAATTAAACTTAGTGGTACTACTAATGAGAACATTTCAAAATTAAGCAAAATTAAGCTTAGTGGTACTACTAATGAGAAAATATCAAAATTAAGTTTAATGATAGTACTATGAAAATATAAAAATTAAGCATAATGCCTAGATAATAAATTTATATAAAAATATTTAACTCATTACAAAAAGTATTAAATAAAATATAAAGCATAGTGGATCATTTTAGTAGTACCAAAATGAAGTATTGTAAGTCTAACAAAAATATTTAACAAAAAGGGAAATTTGGTATTAAAAAAAAGTGCTGAAAAGGGACTTTGTTATTGCTATGAAGAGAAGTGGATGAAAACCTTTTTTTCCAGTACCATATCATATTCTTGGTTACAAAGAAATAAATCTAGAAGGGCAGAAAATTTCAGTTCCATATGTGGATCATCACATCATAAAATAAGTAAAAATAATGAAAATTCAATTCAGAGCTTAAAAGTATGCAAATTTATACTAGTCTAAGAATACTTATCATCTACTTCAGATGTCTTATCTTCAATTGGCAAACTTTCTCCATATCTTGTGAGAACATAGGCCTCCACCTCATTTCTTTGTAGTCTTCTTACTATGACCTTACTCTGATCAGCACCACCTCATTATAAACTTAGATTCTAGCCCTGATTTCCTTTGCTCTGATAGGTGAATTCTTGTCTTACCTTACCAGGGCTCAGGCCTCCACCCTGTTCTTTGAAAGGTTCCTTACCAAGTCCTCATTGTTATATTCCTTGCCCCTCCAACTTTCCAGCATTCTTCTCTGCTCCCTTCCCCCCAAATTCTCCCCCCATTAAAATGTAAGTTCCTTTAGAGCAGTGAATGGTTTCTTGCTTGTATTTGAATCCCCAGCAATTAGCACATTACCTGGAATATAGTAGGTGCTTAATAAATACTTATTAGTTGATAATAGTGGCTAACGTGATATATAATGGTGCAATCATAGTGGAATCTTCACTGATAGATAAAAACTGCAATGTGAATTTATTCAACCATTCTCCTATTGTTATATTTCTTTTTGCTTCTGCTATTTGCAGTTATAAATGATATTGCTTTGAAAATCTTTGAACCAATAATATTTTCCATTATTTTGATAATATGTATCATGACATCATACATAGAAATTATAAATAATTATGAAATATATTTCTAGCAATAAAATTATTGGGTCAAAGGGTATAATTAGCTTGTAATTTTTACAGTGTAGTGAGAAAGTTCTTTTAAAAAAAAGATTCCTCTGTCTTGAAATTCTACCCACCATGAGTAGCTGTACCTTTTTAAAAAATCTCTGATAATTTGATTTTAATGTTATAAAAATTAATTTTTCCCCTTAGAGTAACATTTTTCCTTTTATTAGTCATGTAACACAGAATTTTTTACCATAATTATAGAATATTAAAGCTAGAAGAAACTATAGAGGTAATCTCATCTAATTTCCTCGTTTTCAGATGAGACAGAGAGTGAGTGACTTGCATAAGCCTCCTAGCTAGGTAGTGATAGTAGAGGTAGGATCAGGAGCTTATTATCCAATTCCTAGGAAGATGAGCTTTCCCCTGTACCTTAGTCCATATATTTGACCCTCTATGGTATTTAAGGTCTTGTATTATTGTGTTTTTTCTTGAAGTGCCTCATAAATCCATATTTTCACCTTCAGGATGAACCCAGCTCTGGAATGGATCCTGGCTCTAAGCGATACCTCTGGAAAACGATAATGAAGGAAGTTCAGGAAGGATGTGCTGCAGTTCTTACCTCCCACAGGTGTATTACTTTCACTATTAAGTTGAGAAATTTTAAAATGATAAGAGCTACCATTTATGTTGGCAATAGGGACCCAAGGAAAGTTTTATTGCTTTTGTTATTCTTGTGGCTGCAGTGAGTGTATGTGTATGTGTTTTGTGCTCACGTGCTTTGAGAGAATAAATAGGATACTACTAATAATAATGATAGCTAGCATTTATATAATGCCTTCTTTATGTGGCTTTTTACATAACTTATCTTATTCAATCCTCACAATAACATGATGAGGTAGGTGCTATTATTATCCCCATTACGTAGATGTATAAATTGAGGCTGAAAGAGGTTAAGTGCCATCGCCAGGGTTACAGATAACAAGTTTCTGAGGTAAGATTCAAAATCATATTTTCCACCCTCCAAGTCTCCCACTATATATACCACATCCCTTAGATGCCTCTAGAATCGGGGCAAATTCTAGAATAGCAGCTTAAGATGAGAGGTGGTACTAAGTATATTTAAAATAAGTCCCACTAATTCAGTCAGTCAACAGAAATTTATGACACATTTGTTGTATGGAAGGCACTGTGCTAAATGTTGAGGCTACAAAGAAAAGCAAAAACAGTCTTTAGGCTCAAGAAGCTCACATTCTACTATGATCACAACATGCATACAACTATATCCAAGTTATAGTCAGAGTATGTAGAAAGCAGTCTCCGAAAGGAGACATTAACAGTGTGTGTTGGAAGAGCAGAAAAGGCCTCTTGCAGATGTATAAGGTGCAGAAGGTGGGATTTGAGCTGTCTTTAAGGAAGCCCAGGGAAGGCAGATGGCAGAGAACAGGAGGGCAAGCATTTCAAGTTTGGGAAACAGCCAGTGAAACAATAGAGTGCGGTGACAGGGGATCTTGTGTGAGGAACTGTAAGAAGGCTGGTATTGCTGGATTATAGGAGAACAGTAAAGTGTAGAAGACCAGAAGACAGAAAGCACCAAGGTTGTGAAGGGATTGATCCCAAACATAACAGGGAGCAACTGGCATTTATTGAGTTGGGGGCTGTGATTTGGGATGTAGGAAAATCACATGGTTAATTGCGTGGGGGGATGGATTAAAGTGTATAGAAACTTGAGGTAGAAAAACCACACAGAAGACTTTTGCAATAGCCCTGCTGTGGTGAGCCTTTGCTAGAGTGGTGATGCTATGTGAATGGTAAAAATAGGATATATAAGAGAGATTGTTAAGGTAGAAATGACAGGACTTGACAATGGTTACCTGAAATGGAAAATACAGATGCTTCTGAGTTAGATCTAAAATATTTGTCATATAGTGCAATTATATATTCAGTGCTACTATAGAAGGGTCCAGCTCTATTGTATCATTCAGCCATTTCCACCCTACCTTGACATGCCCCCTCAACACACAAATATTCTAAAGATAAGATTTTAACTCACTTTTGACGGTTCCCAACTTAACACTTTTCCCACTGTACCAGGTAGTATGCTTAATATTCATACATTAAGATAGATTTTGAATGGCCATTAACACTCATAATTTCCATAATTTCTGTCAACCCATTCTGTGACAAATGAACTACAAATGCTGGATGTTATGAAATTGCTTGAGTACATAGAATAGTATGACAAACTTAACCAAGATTTTATGAACTTAACAGAGAGCACTCCTTAAAACATCACAATTCATTCCTGCCAATAGAAAGGTAAGGGCAGCTAGGTGGCACAGTGGTTACAGTGCCAAGCCTGGACAAATCTGGCCTCAGACATTTACTAGCTCTGTGATCCTAGGCAAGTCACTTAACCTTGTTTGCCTCTGTTTCTGTATCTGTAAACTGAGCTGGAGAAGTGAATGCAAAGTGCTCCAGTATCTTTGCCAAGAAAACCTCAAATGAAGTCATGAAGAGTTGAACCTAACTGAAAACAATGGAACGACAACAACAGGAAGGTTAAGCATAAGCTTGGAAAATTTTATATCAGCAGATACTTGTTCAGGAGTGAGTCTGACTCTCCCCTCTCCAAAGAAATAGCTCACAACTCTGTACAGACAACACAGACCACCTCCTCCTTACATGATGTACAGGGCAGTTCTACTTACAATCAAAACTAGAAGGGTTCTCCAGACCTGCACCCTAACCTTTGGATGTGAGGAAGAAGAGGACCAAAAAATCATAGAGAAATAGGGAAGGAGGAGAGATTAGAATACAAGGACAGGAGCAACCCTGAGCCCTTCAAATCCCTCTAGAAGTATGCGAGTGGGTTCAAATCTCCAAAGGCCAGGACTGTTGTTTGTAGAGTAGCTGCTCCTTACACATTTGCTACACCCTACACAAGCACTTTAATGATTCTGAACTCCCATTCATTTGCTGCCTCCAGCCTTGACCCATCAAGGGAAGAGTCAGGAAATATTTCTCTTACTCATCAGTATTGCATAATATCAGAGTTCCAACTACCCAGGATTTTCCTACAGATCTACATCTGTATCATTTGACAGTTGCTTTCTGTCACAACATACTGGAACCATGCTTAAATATTATCAAAGCTCTTTGTGTATTCTATTGTTTCTAGCCTAATTTAAAGATCAATTAAAATACTTTGAACAAAGCCAAGGTTACAGAGAATACGGCCTAACTGCTTAATGAGTTTTTGTTCCTTATTTTCCCAGCATGGAGGAGTGTGAAGCCCTTTGCACTCGTCTGGCAATCATGGTCGATGGCAGTTTCAAGTGTCTCGGTTCTCCCCAGCATATTAAAAACAGGTATAATGCTTTTGGACAATTGAGCCTGCTATTACTCAATTCTGCAAGCCATTTCAGCAGCACCGATAAAGTGTGTAAGGAAGCAATGGAATTTCTGTTGTCTGTCCTCTTTTCTGTCTGGATTGAAGTGCAAGAGTGAAAGATTTGTGTTTTTTCCATGAGCGATTGATTCTGTTTAGTAACATGTCCCAAAAGGCCTGTGTTCTGCATGGATAGTTAGAAAGGAAGAGGCAAGGCCCCGCTGGGCTGGATTCAGAAAGCCCCACTATTACTGAGTGCAGTGATGCTTGATGCTTAGACTGCATTCCTTACCAAGTTAACTAGGCAATAATGATAAGTCGCTGGAGAGTCTTCAATGCTTAATTTTTTTGGGGGGGGTAACGAAGAGGAGAGGCAGCTAGGTGGCATAGTGGATAGAGCGCTGGGCCTGGAGTAAGGACTTGACTTCAAATCTGGCCTCTGATACTTACTAGCTGGGTGACTGAGCAAATCACTTAACCCTATTTGCCTCCAAGATGGAGCTGGAAATGGTAAACCACTCTAGTATCTTTGCCAATAAAACCCCAGATGGGATCACACTGAAAAATTACTAAACAAACAAAAAATGAATAGGGAAACTATTTTACAACCCTCTGACCATGACTGGGCACACACCTGAAGATCTCTATCCTGATTTCTGATTCCTGATATGGTTATTGTTTAGCTTAATTCTGTGCTATTTATGGCTTGCATTTGTGTTTACCTGTATTGCTATGACCAGAAACTAGTCAATCAACCAAGAAACATTTGTTAAATATCTATTACGTGCTAGGCACTTGTGGTGCCAGACATTGGATCTGAAAAAATAGCAAAAACACAAACAAACAAAAAAAACCCAACTGAAAGGACACTGGCCTCAAAAAATGTATATGTTATTGGGGGAGACAGTATGTAGATGGAAATATACGCAGATTACTTATGTGAGATATGATTTCATTGGTAGGGGAAACTCTGAGATGATCAAACTCCCTTAACCAATGTAGTAATTTGAGACCTGCCCTGCAACTTGTAAAGAGTTACCTAGAGCACAGAGAGGTTGTCACTTGCCTGGGGTCACACAGTCAGAATATGTCACAGGCAAGTCTTGGACCTGGGTCTTCCTGGCTTCAGGGTTGGGTCTCTATCCACTAAAGTTTGCTCCCTCTTTTTTTCACACACACACACACCACACACACAACACACACACACACACAGATGCACAAACCCACAGAAAATGAATATAAGGCAATTTTGAAAGGAATGACAGTCACAGCTGGGGGCTTAGGAAAAGCTTCATGTAGAAGATGGAACCTGAGTTAAGTCTTAAAGGAAGTAAAGTATTCTCAGAAATGTAGGGGAATGAGAATGAATTCCAGGCAATGTGGACAGGTGGGGTCAAACCATGGAAATGAAAGATGGAGTTAAATGTGTGAGGAACAGACACTACCTCATGACCTTTCTCTCAAACCCTGCTTCTCCTTTCTATTTTTCCTCTATCTGTGCCAGTCTCCCTATTATCAAGATCTTAATTAGAATCATCTTGGATTTTTCTTTTTTACCTTTCCCTTTCTCCCACGATAGCCCATCATTTGTCAAGTCTTATAGATTATAACTGAAATATCTATTTCATATATTCCCTCATTTCTAGTCTCATTGACACAACTTCTAATTGGAAACACATTACTTTTTGCCTAGATCTGTGAAGCAGGGGACATGTAACCCCATAACGTGGAATGACTTCAGTTACCTGGTGATCAGTAAAAAAAAAAAAGGGTGGGAATGATAGGGTTGTATTCCACACTCCAAGATAGTAAATCATGGGGGCCTTTCTCCAATACCATCCAAATACTTCCATCGCACATTATCATTCAGTAGTCTACACTCTGCCTGCCTCCTAAAGCTCTCCCTCAGTGGCTATACAAGGTGCAAACCCTTCTGCTTTCTTTCCTTCTGGACCAAGCACCAGACACTCAGAACAGTTATAACTTAACCACAACCTGGGCATCCAAAGCATTTTCATAGATGCAGCTGGGAAAATATTCTAATATTCTTTCTTGCCTGTCACCCATATCATGAGTATGGCAAGCATCTCTTCAAGGCAATAGCAAGTGAGAATCCTGCTATCCTACCTCTCCCCTCCTCCATTTTTTTGTTTTCCACAGGACAGAATGAATTACGTGCGATGAGTAGATATGGATGAGTTACGATTTGTATGACCTCTCTCATATTATCTTTACCTCCAAAACTGCCGTTTTCCAGAATTTCTTTATTTCTGCTCAAGGCACCCATGATTCTCAAGACCCTTGGTTCACCACCTTTGTAAAGTGATGGGTCATGACCATTGAAAGAAGGCTTTCAAACTAAGCAACAATTTGCTATTTTTCTTTGGGAAAATGCTTAGAAGATTTATTGAATTTTAAATTATTTATATATGTTTATTCTTTCATAAAAATACGAGTGGCCCAAATAGGTTGTTCTCTTCTGTGATAAAAGTTGCCATCAGTAGTATACTACTTAACACATTAACATATACACATATGTTATATATCTATATAAATATATTACATATGTAGATAATTAATCTATCCTTTCACATGATGAAGAAGATATTTCAATAATGAATTTAAAGTAACCACTATTCAAAAGAAACATTCTTGGAAGTATTTTAATTGTTATGTGATATTTTTTGCTGAAGATAATTTATGTAACCCATTATCTGCCCATTTAAGACTTAGAGTAACAGTTTCTAAGCTACTTAAAATTGTTAACAAATAGCGTCAGTGGATTTTGAATTATTTTGCTCAAAAAACAAAAAAAATGCAACATTCTCTGATTATTTTATAAGAACAAATGACTGGCATCTGAGAAGATAACAATTTACTGTTGTACTTCAACAAAAATTTCACATAATCCACAGATGGGATTGCAAATGAGCATCATGCTTTGGTAAGCATAGTTACCATGATGCATTTCTTCCAGTTTGATCCATGCGTCTTTGGGGAGTCTCTTTTCTAGCTATGACATTTGTCAAAATAAATATAAAAATAAAATTAACTTTGTACCAAACTTTCAAATCACTTGGTTACAAAGTGTTAAATCAAGATTTTAGAAATAACAGAACATATTGTGTAACTAAAATATCATCATGATATATTATGAAATATCCTTCAAATAAAATTTTACTGAGAGCAAAGTTATTTGTACCATTTACAAATAAATTGCTCTTTTAAAATTATTTTCTCTTTATTTCTGTTTATTTTCTTTTTTGTTTCATATGAAATATAATTATCATTATAGTAATGCACATACACACATATGTATGTATACATGTGTGTATATATGTATAGTTGATGGGAGATACAATCCAAAAAGTTTAGGGACAACTGACATAGACCTATGGCAATGGTTTTATAACTTATCCAGTTTCTCCCCATTCCAGTACCTAGTCATAATCACAATAATCAAAGACACGTTTAAGAGTTTTACTTTTTTCAAAATATTATATATCCATACATAGATGCATGGATGCTTATTCAATTAACTAAGAAGCTTTTATTTTATTTATTTATTTATTTTTTTTTGTAAGGCAATCGGGGTTAAGTGACTTGCCTAGGGTCACGCAGCTAGTAAGTGTCAAGTGTTGGAGGCTAGATTTGAACTTAGGTCTTCCTGACTCCAAGGCCAGAGTTCTATCCACTGCACCACCTAGCTGCCCCTAAGAAGCTTTTATTAAACCTGTCATGTGACAGGCACTATTATAGGCATTGGAGCTTCAAAGCCAAAAGTGAAATATTTCCTGCTTTCAAGAATTTTACATTCTAGAAGGGATATACTATATTCACCTGTAAATAAACAAACAATAAGTACAAAATATGTACAAGGTATCTGGGGAATCAGGAAAGGGTTTTTATAGGAGGTGGCACTTAAGCTGAGCTTGAGTGGAAGGTAAGGAATCAACAACTTAGCTATGAGGAAGAAATGATGGAATGTAAGTTGTCCCTTTAAGGCTTTTCATAGGTAGCAGTTTAATGATAAGGAAATAACTTGCCTTTTTAAAAAATTTTTACATGTAAAGGTACAGATTTTTATTGATTGTGAAGGGGTATAAGACTTTGCTCTTCTTATATGATCACCTTGATGTCTAAAAGAAATAGGAAAATAATTTTAATATATGTTACCAATATGTGTTCATGAAGAAACATAGATTCCAGTGAGGGTTTGACAAGTTTGGGACAGAAAATGAACTCTTAAATGAATATAAAGTATGAAATCCCTTTGTGAGCAATGTAGAATGATGCCTCACTTGTGCTGGAAGCGTTTGATGTTATAAAGAGGCTGAGAAAGATATTTTACTTATTAAAAACTTGAGAAATATGTAAATAAACAGTTTCAATAATATCAAAAAATGTTGGACCATTTTCTCTCCTTCAGAGCTGCAAAGCTCTTTAGGAAATTTGCATATAAAGGTTTATGGCTAGAGAAGATTAATTTACAAACAAGAAAAATCATATACTTGGAGATTATGGTATGATTTAAAAGTATTATCAGTTCTTTAAATAATATTTTATTTCCCCTCAATTACATGTAAAAACAATTTTTAACATTCATTTTTTGGTTAAATTTTGAGTTCCAAATTCTATCCCTCCCTCCTCCCCTCCCCCTACCCCAATACAGTAAGCAATCTGATATAGGTTATACATGTGTAATCAGGTAAAAATATTTCCATATTAGTCATTTTTTTTTTTGCAAGAAGACTTGAACAAGAAAGGAAGAAAGAGAAAAAAAGAAAGAAGGAAAGAAAGAAATAGTGTATTTCAGCATATTCAGACAACACCAGCTGTTTCTCTGGAGGTAGATAGCATTTTTCATCATGAATCTTTTGGGATTGTCTTGGATCATTGTATTGCTGAGAATAACTAAGCCATTCACAGTTGATCATTGTACGATATTACTGTTACTGTGTACAATGTTCTCCTGGTTCT